AAAAATAATAAAAATAAAAATTTTTGGAAAAGGTATATTACAAGGTCTAGAACAACCACTAAAAACAGGGAAGGGGAGAGTGGGCATACAGCCAGAAGAAATGGAAAACAAGGAACAGAATGATAGACATGCTGTGTACAAGAAATTAATTTCCAATATAGACACACTAGGTTAAAAGTAAAAGGCTAACACTAGTCAAAATCTAGCTAGAGTAGCTATGTTAATATCATACAATATGGGTTTTGGAGCAGAGACTATTATCATGAACAAAGAAGTTACTGCTTAAAGAATAGAGGCCAATTCATCAAGATGACTAAAAACCCATTGTGCCTAATAGCTCATCTTCAACTGAGATGACACAAAGAGTTTTAGAACTCTAAGAACAAACAGACAAAGGACCAAGTATTGGAGACTTCAGCATTCCAGTTTCAATAACTGAGAGAGCAAGGTAAAAAATGCCAGTACAGACACAGAAGATCTGAACAGCACTACATGGCCAACTTGATGTATTTAATGTTTGCACAACACTTTCTATACTCTTTGGTTGATATATTCCTTCCACGTACACAGGGCACATTTACTAAGACCATATTTTGAGTCACAGAAGAAAAAGTCTCAGTAAATTTAAAATGATCCCAATCAGGAACCGGGCATGGTGGTGCACACCTTTAGTCCCAGAGGCAGAGGCAGGTGGATCTCTGGGAGTTCAAGGCCAGCCTGGTCTACATAGTGAGTTCCAGGCCAGCTGGGGCTACAGAGGGACCATGTCTCAAAAAGAAAAAAAAAATGAATGATACATGTTCTTTTAACTCAATGGAATTAAATTAGAAGCCAATAACAGATATGTGGAAATTTTCCAAATATTTACAAACTAACTTCCAAAAGTTAATGAATGACTCTTTTGAAGAAATGTACTTTTTCAATTATAACTATTACATAAACTACATGATTTTGTCTTATTAAGGCTACATAAAAAAATATAATCACAATTTGACTCGGCTTGCAAACACAATACAGTTCTTGCTCAAAAGTCCAGTTTAAAGGTCAGGTCTAGAGAACAGTGTATCTATAAACTCCAACTACTTTTATTAGTTAAAGTCCAAGAGCTACTTTGTAAAACATACCCTTTTTGAAAATTGAATTTTTATATATTTCATACATAAAATCATCTTTATACCTCCCTTCCCCCTTCCCCTTTGGCACCTCCCATAGCACCCCCACTGGAGTTCATACATTCCGTCATTTGTATTAAGGCCTATTATGTAAAGTAAATGTCCTGAGATGTACTTCGGTGCAAGTTCATCCACTGGGGTTCAGTTAGCCTATCTAGGGTCTCTCCCTTTAAGAAGATCAGCTCTTCCTCACCCAGCAGTAATCAGCTGTCAATGATTTTCTACTAAGATTGGGCTTGCTGTTCATTTCCATAGTTCTGTGCTGGGTTTTTGTCTCCCTAAGTTTGCATAGGTCTTGTGCATGCTGACACCATTGCTGTAGGTTTGTATGAGAAGGATCTCAGGTACCTGTAGAACTATTTCCGAATGGTCATGCACCTCTTCCCTGGCTCTTACAATCTTTCCACCCCCTCTTCTGCAATGGTCCCTGAGCCCTCGGTGGGCAGACCTCAATATTGGAGTCCTGTCCAAGGACCCACACTCTGCCAACTCTTATTCTCTGCATTTTGGCCATTTGTAGCTTTTTGTGTTCCTGGCCCTCTGTTGCATGAGGGAGCTTTGCTGATGAGAATTGAAAGATGCATTAGTGTTCTCTTCATCCCTTGTTCTATGTTCTGTGAGTCTTAGGTTTAGAGGTTGCATCCTAGATGTGCCACTTAGGCTTGGGTAACTCTGTAATAATCTCTTGTCTGTTGAAATTCCTTTCAAGATGCTTGTTTATAAGGATTTGGTGCTAGGATTCAGAAATGAGGGAGAACATACGTCTGTTTTTCTGAGTTTGTGTTACTTCACTTAGTACAACAGTTTCTAGATCCATCCATTTGCCTGCAAATTTCATTAGTTCTCTTTACTGCTGAATAGAACTCCATTGTATAAATATACACATTTTCATTAACCACTGATCAGTTGAGGGACACTTAGGTTGCTTCCATCTTTTAGCTATTGTGAAAAGAGCAGCAACAAACATGGATGTACAAGTATCTGCAACAGGAATGAGTCCTTTGGGTATATGCCAATAAATAGAATAACCGGGTCATATGGTAGGTTCATTTTTAGTTTTTTAAGAGTTCTCCTTTTAAAACAATTACCTCTAGACACAAAGTGTGGGAGGGTAGTAAGGTAGGTGTAGAGAAGGGGAAGGGGGTCTGAATATGATCAAAATACATGAATAAAAATATTTTTCAAAAGTACCTCTAATCCTTTCCAGAAAAAGCTGTTGGTCCTTTGCTATACCCAGCTAAATAATTATGAACAAGAATCTTAATATTAACCTATGTTAAGCCCAATTCAAAATATGTAGGATTATAAAAAATTTGTAATGTCCTTGCAAGGCCCAGGTATCCAGAATAGGACTTTGGATCATGTACAACAGTGCTCCTTTCTTCTGGAATAATTACACCAAGACCTGACTGTCTTTCAATATACTACCAGTAATAATCTAAGACATTTGACATCAACAGAATGAACAAATCACTGAAAAGATAGGAAAATAGTGATCAAGTTAGTGGGGTGCTCTCAGTGAAAGGGAGCTCAGAGGAGAAAGAGAAGACAGTCCAAGACGGGTCAACAGAGGGAAGACTAGGTTACGGCTCAGCCCCTACAATGCCCACTCAAAATTCTCTGAACCCGTTTCCTCCTCTGTAAAATGTGAACCTACAGTAAGTCCTAGGGTCTCAATGGACTCTGTAAGTCTGTGGACATAGTTTGGTTGCAGTTTCAAATGAAATATCCCCAGAGAAAGCTCTTGTGTATCTCCTCACCACAACACATTTGTTATTGAAACTAGATCCCATGATGCTGTATAAAACATGGCAGGTGCTACACTTCACAATGGAAAAGGATCCCTGGAATGCACTAGAAGTCAGAAGAGCTAAGCCTTAGTTTAATTTAACCTTAACAAAAGGTAAGACCAATTACAATGTAATTATTCATATTTTTAGTTGTCTTAAGGTATAAGATGCAGATGCAGAAACATAAACTATGTAAGTATTAAGGAAAGAGACCAGTTTCTCACTGTGCAGCTTGAGGATGAACTTGCAAAGGACAGGTAGAAAACAGAGGGATGAGCAACAGCAGCAACTTGTACAATGCAGCACAGCATAGTGGAAGACATGAGCTTTACATAGGAGGTGGACATCATTTTAAGTCCTAGCCCTTCCCCTCCCAACTCTGACCTTGGAAATTCAGCTTTATCAGTCTCAGTTTCTCCACATCCAAAATAGGTTAGAATTACATTGTAGCCTTAAGGATTAAAGATGACCGTTAGAAAACAGCAGCTGCTTAAAAAAAAATAAAAGCTTCTATTACTGAAGGTCCAGAGACTGGAGGTAAGAGCAAAAAGTAACTAACAGATGGGGAAAGTAGAGGATGTGTCTATAAAGGCAGATCATGACCAGTCTGCAAAGGGTCTGGACAGTTTGTCAGCTAGGAGGCTCATATTGAAAAGCATGGTTCTGTGGGCTCAGCACTTAGGAGTGCAAAGGGCTCAGTCAGAGGTGCCATCCAAATTGGAGAAACCTGAGCTTTTAAATGATGGGAAGATCAAGTACCAACAGCTAGTGGCAGAGATTAGGATTTTGGCACCAAATGGGTGGGAATGAATGATGAGAATCTTAGGCAATTTCCAAGTCTATAGAATTTTAAGCTACATGTAGCCTGTCTACATTGGTGACTGTGGTGCTTGGGTATGTGGGAAGCAAAGCAGACGTTTTGGGTTTTTTGATGTATACAACGGAGGGTAGGGGTAAGGTAGGATTGCTACAGGGTCAGATCTGTGACCCGACTTCTCAACTCTGCCGCACAGTGAGAGATATAAAGGAGAAGAAAAAGACTGAATGGAAAGTGAGGAAGTTTTTTGAAGGAAAAGTCCAGGTAGGAGTTACCTTGAGTCAAAGCCTGTGACCATGGGAAAGAGAAGAGAAAGCAACAGATGGTCATGTTTCAGGTGGACAGTCTAACAGGACATGAAAATTTACAGGCTGTGGTGGAGTAAGGATAAAAAGGAATGCATGACTAAGGTTGTGAGCTGTGTGATCTGGAGCACAGTGTTACCACTTAGCAGAGACTTAACTCAGAAAACAACATCCCGGCCACTGGAAGGCAGACTAAAATCCTCCAGATACCTACATGTCCCAACAGGACCTTAGCCTCCTCTTCTACCATACCAACATTAAACTCTTTCATTTCCTCTTTGACAATGCCTGTTACTTAAGTTAGGAAGTAAAAGAAACTAGTGAGCATCAAGAATTTCATAAAATGGAGTTGAAGAGATAGCTCAGCAGAAAAGAATAATTGTTATACAGCATTAGGATCTGGATTCAAATCCCTAGCACTCATGTAAGAAGCTGGGCATGGCCTCATGTGCTACAACTACAGTACTGTGGAGACAAGGGGATCAGAGGGACTTGCTAACCATCAGCCTAGTTCCAGGTTTGGTGAGAGCTCCTGTCTCAAGGAAGTAAGCTGGAGAGTGATACATCAGGACAACTGATGTCCTCTATGTGCACGCATGGGTGCATGCATTCAGACACACACACACACCCATCCACATTCATGTACAAAAATGTTTATAAAATGTATTCAATGTGGGGGCTGGCTCAACGGTTAAGAACACTGGTTGCTCTTGCAGAAGACCCGGGGTTCGGATCCCAGCACCCACATGGCAGCTAACAACTGTCTGTAACTTCAGTCCCAGGGGATCCGACAATCTCTTCTGACTTCCACAGGCACTGCACGACACGGACACGGGTACACTTACCTACATGCATGCAATACACGCATACACATAAAATAAAAATATTTTTTTTTTAAAAAGTATTCAATGCTTACCTTTACGGCTAAAATTTTCCCACTGGGGACATGATATGCTCTAGAGGAAATAGAAAATAAAGTTACTTGAGATCGTTAAGGAACCTATGGAGCAATTAAGGATATAAAGTATCAATCCAAACCTTTCCACAGCAATAGGAGATATATGTGGTACCCCCATTCAGCAACTTCTATTTCTATGAAGATAACCAGTTTACAAAGTGGATGATTATGTATCTTAAAATAACTTCCAAGGTAATGGCTGCATTATTACCCTCCTCTTAAAGATGAGAATGCTGAAACATGGGGAAGTTAAGCAGTCTGCTCAATGTGCAAGGTGCATAGCCGCAGAACTAGACCTCAAACCCAGCTCTTCTGACCCTATGTTGGGTAGGCTGTCCTCCAAGGGAACTAGAGACAGTCACCTCTCCCACCCAATCAGTCAGCTTCAATTGCATGAGGGGGAGGGTCTAAGGACAGATGCTGAGGATGCTGGGAGGCTGCAAAAAGTCACCATCTTGGCAGCACAGAGGCAGCAAGCCCAGGTGCCTCACAAAGCAGCCCGCTGGCACCCCAGACCTCAAAAGCTTAGCTGAGATGTAGAGAAAGGGCCCAAGGGTGTTCATGCCTTTGTAAATAACCCTCTCCTGGATGTCATAAACTATACAAAAATCCAAATAGAATGTATTGTATTGGTTTTGTCCATCAGGCATAGGGCTGTGTGCTTCTGGGATCCCAGAGAGAGTTTGGGGGGAAGGGTTGGTGCAACACCCTAGATCCCTTATTGCTGTCGTTATGTGTCTGCAGTTCCATGCTAAGCACTGCAAAATTAAAGTTTTTGCTTTCAGTTACATAGAAAGATAAACCGTATCATTATATTTCATCAAAATAATCACCAATTACAGGATTAGCTATGACTATAGTTTTCAATATAATTTCATATAAGAAATGTAGCTCTGCAGCTTGAGCATGCAGTACATCTTTTCCTTAAACAGGCAAACTGAGCTACACTGGAACAGTATAACCTAAATTAAGAATTATTAATAGGAACTGGGGATATAGTTCAGTAGTAAAGTACTTTTCCAGCATGTATGAGGCACTGGGTGAAATTCCTAGCACAAGAGGAAAAAATGAGAGAAGGGAAGAAAGGAAGGGAGGGAGGGAGGGAGGGAGGGAGGGAGGGAAGGAGGACCCCACCATTCATGGAAAAATAAAAGAATAAGGTTTATAGAAATAAAATATTATTTTCTATCAAGACCTAGTGTGTGTAAATGAAAAGTGGACTTTTACAGATACACTGAAGGAACCATATAATCTGACCATTAGGGAGAAACAGACTATTTTGTATAAAAAATTCAAAACAAACTGCGTAACATAAACAAGCACTGAAAGTGCATGCCTATGAAAGTATAAAGAAGCAAATGAGTTGGGAAGAGCTGAGTCTGCTCCTGTGGAGGGTTTCACACATTGTCACCTGGCTAGTGGTTCAGACAAGCAGGTAGAGAAAGGTGAAGGAATGGAGCCGGCACCTCAGGAATGCTTTCTCTTCATTGCTTAGCCTCAAAATATACTCAGCAGGCCCCCAAACTGCTCAGTTCTTACAACAAGAATAAAAACAAAACTTATATAACCCATTATTAGCAAAATGCAAGCAATAGTTTCTGATGGTTTGGTTTAGTTGATATGTCAAATTTAATGGCTTTATATTGAGTTATGATTTATATGCTAAAAATTCACTTATATAATTTATATGATAAAAATTCCCTTGTTTGGGTATGAGTCAATTATTTTTAGTAAATTATAGAGTCCAGCAGTCACTGACAAATGTTTTGATATTGACTGACTTACAGAAATAGTTTAAGAACCTACAGCCAAAACTAGGAAAACACACACACACACACACACACACACCTCTCTACATATATATGAATATTGCAAGAATTTATTATGCTTTTCCTCCTGGAGAGGACAAAAGTCAAGCAAATCATGGAAAGTAAGTTAGTTTTTATTACATTAATTACTTATACAGAATTTCAAGAACAGTGCCTTTAAAGGAAAAGTAAGATTATGAAACAGGTGATCATTTTTCACTTTCCCAAAGAATTCTTTTAATTACAAAAGTGTCTAAATACTTCTATCAATTAAAAATTTGGGGGGCTGTTGAGATGTCTCAGCAGTTATGAGCACTTGCTACTCTTGCAGAAGACCTGAGTCCAGTTCCTAGTACCCACAGTGGGTGGCCACAACTACCTATAACTCCAACTCTGGGGAACAATGCCCTCTTCTGGCCTCCACGGGCACCTACATGCACATGTTCAAATACACACAGAGTCACTCATACATACACATAAAGAAAATAATAATTATACCTACACATATAGAATAATTTCATAATTATATAAAGTGACACAACTTTTATAAATGGAACCCATTCATTATGCTGATTTTACAAGAAAGTATCATTTACTACCTATGTAAACAGTAGATCTTTATAGTGCAAAGCTACATTTCATATCATAATTTGATTCATGATATATTCAAACTCATGCAGCACATGGGTATATAAAGACTCACACCATAACTTTCTCAGGGGCTGCCTGAGAAGTTGTTAGATGATGCTAGTTTAAAATATGATGTAAAAGCCAGGCGTGGTAGCACACACCTTTGATCCCAGCACTCAGGAGGCAGAGGCAGGCAGATCTCTGTGAGTTCAAGGCCAGCCTAGTCTACATAGTGAGTTCCAGGCCAGCTGGGGTTACAGGGAGACCCTGTCTCAAAAAGACCATAAAAAAAAAGAAATTAAAATATGATGTGAGGAAGTTAGTTTTTTTCCCACATAAACACAAGTGATTTAATACGCAAGATTAAATAACAAGATATTCTTTTCCTCCTGTATACCACAGATTCTTCCAACTTCACTTTTTAAAATAGTGCATATTAGAATCACTATCCAGGGTCTAAATATGTAGACAAATAATTGAAAGCTGTAAAAAGAGCAATGTTACTACACTGAGCAACAAGCAACACCTGGACTTCTGAGACCAGCTGTGGTGATAAGAAAACGGTTAGCAGATCACCTAATATACATATACTATAATGGACAGTTTGGCAACTTAATTAGCTTGTCAAGAAAGCCGATCTCTTTCCCAAAAGAAAGGCTTCCTATTTCCAAGTGAATTAAAAGGGGAGAGTTGATGATTTAATTATGACGCAGGCTAATTCATCCATGGAAGTTTGGGTTAGATTTCCAGCAGTAAAGATGCCGTGTGGCTTGGTTTACAGTGTAATGACAGGACCGATTTCACATCTAATCATCGGGGATAAATGGATGATAGAGGCAATGCCAGGTCTGAGCCCAGCAAGTCCCTCAACTCTGCAAACAGTATTCTACCTGGAGAAAAGGAATTTGTTTACTTTCAACAGAGAGTGCGTCTCAATTGTCTTGACCTTCCTCAGCACATTAACTATAAAGTGATTAATGAAGTTTGAATGGAGGCTCTGGTTACACCAAAAGACAACTATACACCTCTGCAATGTTTTAATTAACAGCTAACACTTCAAATTAGTTTGTTGTTGCCACCGTAATTACCTGTTCCAAAGAGCACAGGGAGAAAGCATTTGTATGAGGTATTTTTAGTGCTTCTTCCTGAATGCTCCACTTTGTGACCACCACAGGCCTTCTGGGACTAGTCCCAGCCCATAAAACTGAGCATATGTTATATATGCCTGCAGATGGCAAAAGACAGTACGCTGGTATTAGTTTTTGAATATATGAAATAACAAGAAGGCCAACACAAGAAAACATTTACCATTCCTACTAGGTTTTGTTTGTGGTGCTGAGGATCAAAGCCCATGCGTGCTAAGCAAGCGCTCTCCCACTGAGCTACAGTCTCAGCCCTCCTATTTCTTCTTCCTTCTGGAATAACCTTTACTGTTGGTACAGAATCAAAGTCTCCTAAGCTGGCAGGAAATGCAGAAAACTGCTCAGGCTAATCCCTTCTTCTATAGCAGAAACACCTGAAAGTGAGGTTGTGCAACAGCTAAGCTCACAGTCACAAATCCCAGACTGGAACTGCGGCAGTGTAAGGAGGCCAAGACCTGAAAGGTGTATGTGATATGCTGAAGTTTTCCTAATTGTTGGGAAAAGATACACATCTCCACATGTACAGAGGTATGGGCTTACTCCAATCAGGCCAAGGACCTTCAGAAGCAAATCTCTTGCAGCAAGGCAACAATTCCTCAACTATTGCCAATCTATTCTGGGAGGCAGGAAAGTGAATGATGTGACTGCCAAGAAAGACACCACTAACAGCTGATTCCAGCTCTATTTCTGAGCCCTGTCAGCCTGTTAGTAAACTGGGCTCAGGTGTGGAAAAGGAGAACATCCCACTTGCAGAGCTGTGAGGATTCAATGAGATCCTCATTAAGCGCCCATGAAATGTTAGAAGTTAAGGGTTTGAGGAGGAAACCTGCTAAGAAAGAGTGGAAGAGCGCAAGTGTCATGACCTGCATGCTCTACATGGGAGTATGGAGTACACAGGAGTACTGAGTAACGGGTAAGCAATGAAGAAACCGGCAAAGACCTGAACTGTATCATTTACTGTTAGCGAGTATTACTTCATGTTGAACCAACTCAGAAGAGAAAGAATTGAAATGTTACTGTTACACCATGATTCAAGCTCTGCCTTTATCTTGTCTATCTCTTACCCAGACTGTAAGCAGAAACACCACTTGACAATCACTGTTGCTGGGTGAGAAAGGATGTCACATTCTCCTTAGGTTAACAGGAAAATATAAGTCACCAGAGAAACAACTCCATATCGTCCCTTAATATATATTATTATAAGCTGGGCATGGTGGTGCAGACCTAGAATACCAGTATTCAGGAGGCAGAGGTGGAAGGAACATGAATTCAAGACCAGCCTGGGGTACACAGTGAGTTTCAGGCTAATCTGTGCTATGAGACCCACCCCCTCCATGTGTGTGTGTGAACATAGGCCAATATGCATACATACACATCCTTATAAACAATAACATTTTGAAGTCTCTTCTGTTTTTCAA